GAGATCGCTTTCCCGCTAAAAAATTTGCATATTTTTTTAAAGTGTCCGCGCACGGAACCCAGGCCGCTGCGGTGGATGAAATTAAAACGGGGGAGGGGGAGGGGGGTCACGCATGGTACAGGCACATATCTTCAAAGTTTCAGCCATCTAGCTTTCCTGATTCCAGAGTTGAAAGTGGGTGACTAAAAGTGCGAACACAGACACAGACACACACGCACACACGCTCTTCCCAATATGCGTTTTTGCAATTTACTATATGCAAAAACGCATAAAAACTACTGAAAGTAATGATTTCAATAAAAATGTAAGATGTGATGTGAGCTAAAATATGAAAATGACGCGTGTAAGTTACTGAAAGTTACTTGGAGTGCTTTGCGTATAAGTAGGCAGCAGCGCGTGGTGTGTGTTTTGGCAAGAGTTTGATGTCTCAAGTATTCAGCTATCCACAGCAGATATTCTCTGAAAGGTAGTTAGTCCGGGTGCCGATTCTTTTCAACAGCTGTTGAGAAGTTTTCTAGGGATCCAAACTTGGTTAATACAGCAAGAAGTTTCTAAAAATAAAGAACTGTAAAACCTTTTCTTCTTACAATGCACAATTACTACAGCTGTGGAAATTCAACAGCAGAAGAGTTTTGATACACTGTCAAACTGCATGGCAGGGCTTGCTTATATACGCGCAAAGACACAGTATTTTCGTGCTATAAGTAAGAAATCAAATAATCATAACTTCAAAAACATTACAAACAAAGCAATATATCACGTGTCGTACCCTAAAATTTAAAATCTTTCAAACAAAGCAATGTATTTTCGAATGTTCCCAACAACCCCACGGCCGAAAAAGTTGGATTCTACTGACTGTTTCTGGACTTCGTCCACGTGAAGTCAACTTCTTGATTTTTTTGGACGTGGGAATCGGAGAATACATTTCGCACATCTCCAGCGTTTTGTCTGGATCATCATCAGCACCGCGGCGATTCATTCGATTATTTCTCCGAGCTGATTCGCTCTTTTTGGAAACGCAAGAGGCTTGCCGGGACGATCATGCGTTTTTGCTCTAAACTTTCGGGTTGCTAACAGCAAGAACTCCAGTAAATGCTAGCTTTTTGAAAAAATGAAAATGCAAGTTCTTTGGAAAAATGCAAACCTCAGTTCACTAAGAAAGTGGAAGTATTACTCGAGGGGTCGTTTGTGAAAAAATCCAGATACGCAAATGAACTAATGTTCATTTACATATTCGGATGAGGGCGGCCGTTCGCTGCAAAACGCACTCTTTTTTGATATTTCGGTAATGTTGAGTATTTCTCATGCCTGCCTGGAGGAATTCCACTTCCAAGCAGAATTAAGGCTGTACTTGAAATTAAAATATCCCAGTAAATTTTCAGCCTCGCGGCTTTTCCGGCGAGCGAAATATCCACTTCGCTACAAATATCTTTGAAGTGCCCTAAATCGTGGCGTAAGTGCAAATCGGTACTCATTTTAGATATATTATTTCCCATATGGGAGACAAACATCACGACAAAATTTCAGCCACTGTTTTCCAGCAAGTTTTCGAGCTAGCATAGTACCAAGTCGCAAACACTGACGTGTTCGTACACGCCGCACAAGCACGCGCGACTGCTGAATTTGAAAATCGCCGTAGAGTATGCAGTAAGTAAAAAACTCCACGGGCCGTTTAGGCCCTGTGGGCGAAAGGAAGTAGGAACCAGTAAGGGTAAACACCTTCAATGTTGCTGCGTATATACCTAACACATCAAATCAAGTTCTAGAGGCCCGTAGTAACCAACTACACACGAAAGAGCCTTAATGAAATGCTGTCGGAAATAGTACGACTTACAGCACCCCACAGACTAAAAATTTATAGAAACTTTGTTGGAAAGAGAACATCAGTAAAAAAAATATCACGAGGCGAGAACTAAAAACGCCAACTTACTAAAAAATATATCACGAGGCGAGAACTAAAAACGCCAACTTACTAAAACGAGGCGGAATCAAAAGCAAGCACGACCCGGTGTTCGTGGAAGTAAGAAAACCTGCCGCGCGATGTCGAAATGAAACAACACGGTCAAAACTGGAAGTAGGGGGCAGTAAATAGTTCTGGAGGAGTCAAACCTGCAGATCGACGGAGGGAATCGCGTTACTCGCAATACACGTAGAAGAAAAGCAAGTAAAATGGCCCTTTAAGAGCCAACTGATCTGAGCTAAAGTGCCATAGTGAAAGGGGCGGAAAATCACACGGAACGGAGAATAGTCGGGATGATGCAACCGGAATAGGCGACTTCATGAATATTTCAATTCGTTATACACAGGCACAAGAAGACGAACCGATCCTTCAACAGGCGAGCTGATCTTTGGCTAAATTTTGAGCATGTGTGCTGAAGTGCCCTTATGAAATGAGAGAAATCACTCAGAAGCAACTAGACAATGCAACCAAAGCAGTAAAAGTGAAGACAGCATGAATATTAACAGTGGGCTGAAATGGACACGCTCTGGGGCTAATAGTTGCATCCAGCGTTGTCAGCACTTGAGCGACTCAACACGAATTATTGTAGTTATTAATGCAGAGCACACAGTTACTATAAACAACTTCAGTGTTGCTGCAACGACCACGTACAGAGGCAGACAGTGCTACCAACATTCTCAAGGTTGCATGATTCAACACGAAGTGATACAATCATCAGTGTATTGCACGTGGTTGCTGTAAGTACCAGCAAGGAGGCGAAAGATTTAGCTTGGTAATCAACTCAAATTCTAAAAACCAATGAGTCGACAATGCTCACAAAAGGAGTGCTACTGGGAGCAACTGAACGATTCGTAATCATGAAGTTCCATTATACGGAGAGGTTCATTACAACATTACAGGGGAAAAAAATAGGAATATCTTTATCATTTCCCGGGCAGCTGTGGCGCGGCATCCGCATTGAGCACTGTGCGTAGAGCTGGATCAGTGCACGCGAACCAGCGGGAGTCGCCACGCGGTCCAATCCTGATTCGATTTTCAGTTGAATACGCGATATATCCCCTGGAGCGCAGTTGCAGCGCAAGCGCAGCAGCGTCCTGATATTCTTTGTTCTGAAATTTCCAACAGCAACGCAAAGTCGAAAAGAGCATGGGAAATGAAAGGGGTAATTATAAAGTTAAAACCTGTAGTTTCGTCGGGTCGCTTTTGATGGAGATTGTACATCCGTACAGACTGTACTTGCCTTTTTCAAATTTACGCTTATCCTTAACCGCAACGAAGGAGCACAGGATGTAGCGATTCGCTACCCAATAACATTTTCGGGAAATGATGGCAGCAGCGTCGGTGTTGTAACGCTATCGCTGACTGATTCTCGATCACTTCTAGATGTATCGCTCAACTGGTTAAAAACGTAAATAGCGAGACCCATCGCTTTATTATTCCTTCGGTTGCTTTGACCGTAACTGGTCCCGAATAATCTAAACCAATCGATTCAAACACTCGGCTACGTTGAATTCTTTCCTTCGGTAAATTTGGCATCGGCGAAAGTTGGAAAAGTTTAGCTTTCCATCGACGACACTGCCAACGTGCATTGATAATACGCTTGACTCCCGCTCGTCCTCGGGATATCCAAAATTGATTTCTCAGTTTCGCGAGGATATGGGCAACTCCCGCATGATAAAGCTCTTAATGTTGCTTCTGGATGACAAGCATGGTGAACGCGTGTCGACGTAGCAAACAGACTGGATATTTGGCGTCATCTCCTGTTTCCGCATCGTTGAAGCGCCCAGCTGCTCTCCAGATTCCACTATCATCTTTCAACAGTCTCTATTTATTTATCTCGTACCGATCTTCCGTAACCATCTTCTGCGCTTCCTTGATAATAATTCTCTCCGCTATTTTGTAGTCATCCTTCGTTGGTGAACCTTCTATGAAGAGCCTTTGAGGCAACAACCATTTTCTTCTTGAAATTCGATTGATGAATCGTAGCATTCGTACGATCGTCCTTATTAACTAGAGCCATGTGCTGAAGCGGCGCAAATCAATCAACTGTTCCCCGGAATTCATTCAGTTTGCGATGTCTGCAACATACACCACGTCCTCCACAGTTCTAATTGTTTCAGTGTATTTGGCTGCAGGCACTGACTTTGCCAGAACTCCATTCTGGCCATCTTTCTTCCTCTTGTCAAAGCCAATTTGGTCCGAACCACCATAAAGAGTTTCATTGCAGCGCTGTGGCGCTGACACCCATGGTTGCTAGAAAAGCAAGATTCTCGTCCGTCGGCGTAATGTGCTACGTCGGACTGTCTGATTTCTCGAAGTCGACTTTCGATGAACTTTGGGCGCGGTTTCTCACCTTCATTTATCCATTGCAAAACGCACTGAGAATCTGTCCACAAGTATTTGTTGGCCGTTTATAAATTCATTGAAACGATATGAATTTTGTAGCTCAAACTCCAATAAGCACCACAAGAAGTTCTGCTCTTGGTATTGTTATGCCACTGATGGGAGACAAACGCGTCCTGCTGAAGATTAATGCAGTACAATACGCCCCGCTGTTTTGCTGCTATCGTAAGTATACGGCAAGTGCATACACTTTCTGCGATGCATCGACAAAGGTATGGATCTCTGTGGTGTTTATGGTATCCGACGCCTTTCGCGGTATTCTAACCTCGACATCACTCCAGCTATCTATTATACTTACTGCTGCCACGTTTGCTCCTCTTCTTCATTTAGCCTTTGATCCTACAGTCGATTTTTCTCCCACAGTTCTTGAATGAATAACTTCATCGGCAGTACCGCCAAGGTTAAAAAGCCGATCGGGTCAAATATGCTTGCTGTTTGATGGAGAATTTTGCACTTTGTTGGCAAGTTGCACTCCAGTTTGGGCATTTCGTATATTAACTAGTCTTCATGAACATCCCATTTAATTCCGAGGACTTTCACACTGCCCTCTTCGATTCTATCTTCCACCGAATAGCTTGATTGAAGTTGTTGTCCTTAGACAGAAATTGCCGCAGACTCATTGGAAGAATGTCAAAGAGATCCATTAAATTTTTTCGGCTGTAGCGATTATTTCGCGCAATGCGGGACCCTTAAGCTCATACCACTTTCGATTCGGTGGCGCACCGACTCCAACACGTAAATCGAATGAAATCAGGTAAAAACTTTTAGGACGCAGTAAATTAGCTACAGTTCTAGCCCGTTGCGATATTTCGTATTGATGTTTCGTCAAATCATTACGGATACTGATGTTACGACCGTGGGGCTTGAACTCTTTGGCCAATTTACGTTTCCAAAAATCAAATTTCATTTTATCTTCAGTACGCAGAAATGAAACCAAAATACATTTATTATTGAGACGACCGTCCAATGTATTCCTTTTAGTGCCAGACTGTACGCATCTTCGATAGAACGTTTCATGCCATCAACGAGAAGTTTAATGAAGAGATCGTAGGGTTTATCCACGCGATCAACAGCTGTTCCATTGTCAAGAGTAACAGTGACCTTGCATCTTGAAAAATCGTAACCAAAGAGACGCACGTCCAATGAGCGGCTGACTCTTCTTTTTTGAAGAGACTGTCCTTTTCAGTTGGATAGGTTACGCAAATTCGTGGTAAGAAGGGGCGCACCCAAATTCATCTTTTATAACGCACCACAGTTCAAGCTGTTCCAAAAAGCGGTTGATTCAGTGCGACTTCCTACAACGGATAAGGCCATTGTTGGCTACTGCAGCGAGCGAAAAATCAAGTGGCGTTTTAAAACAGTTAGCGCACGATGGAAAAATGGATTATACGAAAGAATGATTGTTATGATCAAAAATACCTTGAGGAAAAGTACTGAAAAAACACATGTCGATGATGAAAGCTTAGATGTGCTCAGACCCACTGATCCACTAAGCTCATTTGCGTAGCACGGATTTCTATTATGCCGGGAAAACAGCGGAGATGAAGTGGGTTACAGTCCCTTTGGGATTTCATCAGGGAAAATGATTCTAAAGGTATGGGAACGGAAGAATAAATGACTGGATAAATTTTAGACATTTTGCAATGAAGAATATCTAACGAACATGCGTGAAGAACAAAAGTTTTGATACACTGTTAAACTGCAAAACTAGACTGCCTGCACGTCGGCGCTTGCTTATATGCATGCGGAGACACCACGCTGTTTTCGCACTATAACCAACCCATCAAATTAATAACTGGCATTTAATTATAAAACGAGAAAAGAGGGGTGCGGGGCATTATACGGAGCCAGCAGTTCATTAATATAAAGAGGAAATAACTTATCTGAGGAGCACAGAATTTGCCTGGGACTCGTTTGTTTCAAGTTTTAGTCGATAAGTTGTCCTGAAAGTCCAAAGCCAGTGTCGCTGAGGGCATGAGAATAAGACGATGACGAAAAGAACTGCAAGCCAATGGCGAAAAGAAGAACCGGAAGTCGAAGATGAGATAGCACCAAAGATTCAGAGGACTTGGTGCGCAGTGTGCGTGCGTATCGTGCAAGAAACCGGTGCCGCACGCAGCCGGGGGGGGAGGAGCGAAGAGTTTTGCAGAATTCCCGAGTTGTGCTGTAGCCCTTCTGTGCTAGCTG